CTCTCGATGTGCAAAACTGATAGAGACATACCCCAAGCGACTTGCAGCTGTAATTGCAGCAAAAGGTGGCGCTACAAAGTATTAGCGCAAGGGGCCGAATAATATTGCACGCCCCACTTTTCAGTTTTTTATTTTTTTAAAAAGTTTAAATTATCCAATAAATTTTGTTCCACTTCACGATTGTGTCCCACTTTCTGTTGATTCTTGACAAAAAAACTTATTTTTATATCTTTATGTTTGAAGCCTGAAATGTGGCGAAATGTTGAAAGGTTCAAGGGGGCCGAATACTTACGCAAGGCACTGTATATCTCATTTTAAATCACTGATTGCATTTGCTTTTAGCTGACTTTCAATGGCACCAGCTATAGATACAGCATCAGAGTTGGCAATCTCAGAAAGAGACAGAAACGTCTCTTTCACCGCACCTTCCTCCACAGACACATATCCAACACTAAGACTAGCTGTTGGGTCTTCCATCTCTAGCTTCGTCTGCCACAGTGGCATTCATCTGAGAAGCTTCACTGTGACCTCCTGAGAGCAGCTTTCAATCACGTCATTTTGAGAGAATGAGGACAAATAACTTGTATTTGAAGGAGGTTTGTAGCTCTGCAAGAATGGGTCGAACTGCTTCAAGAGGGACATGGCCACGAAAAGCAAGCCCCAGCTTTCCCAAAAAGCAAGTCACTGCAACAACCCGTTCAAGATACTTCCGTCTCTCTAGAACCTCTGCTGAACTTGCTGCTTCCATCTGTTCTAAAACATTTCCGTGGTCCTCGTCTGGGTGCCCTGATGTTTCTGAAATGTATCAAGTGCCTTTTGCCAGTTAGTCACTCCGTCACTTACCAAGGCCTTTTTTTAATATGTTTACCAAAAACTCTACAAGCAAAGCAAAAGGCACTATCTTTACTTTTCGAGTATTCAAGCCAGAATATGTTGTAAACCAGCTTTTGTGGAATGATCTTTTTTGTTTCTCAAATTGTGTCTGAGTGAAGTCATTCAGCTCCATCTGTCTCGGACCTCTCTGTCTCCCACATCACGGTCCTGCGGTGAGCCTTTCTGTTCCCGTTCAGTCGGACACTTCTCCCTTGCACTGATGCTCCACTGCTTCTCCGGTAAAAGATCAGCCACATTAATTATATACTGTACAGCTCAATAACTTTACAGTGATTACCAATAAAAACTTTCTACATAAATACAAACATAAACAATTTGGTTCTACCACTAGTTTTCACATGTATATTTCTATGTAAGGAATGGACCCACAATGGACTAACCCATTTTAAAATAGATGGTTACAAAGAATTGTAGAAAAAAAAACATTATTTATACATAACCTATATTAACGCGTTTTAAAAATAAGTTTTTTTTTTTTATATGTTTACATTAATTTTAGGGGTGCTTGACATATTTATAGACATATTTTTGAAATATTTTTTGACAAATTTTTTACATATTTTTGACATATTTTTTGACATATTTTTGACATAATTTTAGACATTTTTTTGACATATTTTTTGACATATTTTGACATAATTTTAGACATTTTTTTTACATATTTTTTACATATTTTAGACATATTTTTTACATATTTTTGACATATTTTTTGACATATTTTTAGACATATTTTGACATTTTTTCAAAAGGGACTAGCTTCACCCCTGTCTTTATCCATAAATGTATTTGCGTCTTAATCCAAGGCAGACTTGTTTCTACGGCGCCAGGATCAAAGAGACGCCACCGCAGTTGTTTTAAGCCCCAAATACAAAATGGCGGCTGTGGACAGGAGAGTAGGTCACCGGGGCAGGTTAAAGTCAACCTGAAGAACAAGCTCAAAGACGGGTGCTTTCTGTCCCTCTCTCCTCTTTTCCACTGGAGATGACTGAAGAATTAAACTAGCCAGAAACAAACTTATTTTTGCAGATGAAAGAAGAAGGTCCCGTCTTTCAGAATCTGGTTTCATATTTCACATCGTCGTAGCGCACAATATTCTGTGGGTCTTGAAAATCAGTCAATTCATCAAAAACTGCTGGCGGTCTGAGTTAATCAGATGTAAATAATTGTGTGTTATTGTATACATTGTGGTTCTTTCTGGTTAAAGGTGTTGTGTTTTACCCGTGTTTTAAATGCTAACTTTGCCTCTGCATTAGCTTGATGCTACGTCCGGTCTGAACGATGCATTTATTGTGCCATGTCCGTGTCAAATACTGACATATATTCATGTTACTTTTACATGGAAGTCAGTAGGAGGCAGAGAAAAACTTTGTCCATGAGCACTTCCCTATTGGGCTTTTGTCTATGATTGAAGACATGGTTTTGACGAGGCATCTACGGTCAAAATACACAGTGGATTAAAAGGCTGTCGTTGGTGGTGGTCGGAGGGGCCGATGGCACAGACTGGTTGCCTCGCTTCTCTCAGTGTCCCCCAGGG